AAGATGTACCATGAATGTAAACTTCAAATTTGACGGCACGCTTTGCAGGCAAGTGGACGGGGTGGCAACGGGCACCCATTGGGTCCCATTCTGGCTGATTTCTTTCTAAGTAAGCCAGAAAATGGACCTCTGAACAACCTTATCAGTAAGCTCTCATTTTATTGCCGATATATGGATGACACCTTTATTCTTTATGATAATGGTTCCGATAGGAGTACAATAATTACTGAATTCAATGAAGTACATTCGGCTATGAAATTCACATGCGAAGAGGAATCCCAAGACAGAATTGCCTTCCTAGATGTCCTACTTACAAGAAAACCAGACGGTATCATAAAAAGAAATTTACATAGAAAAAGTACTTGGACGGGACAATATACACACTTTCATAGCTTCGTTTCCATCAATTACAAAAGGAATTTAGTGAAGACCCTTAGCCACAGAGTTAGAGCTATATGCTCTGAAGAAGTAATTAAAGATGAATTAAGCATGGTATATGATACTTTAATCGAAAATGGTTATCCTGAGAAATTTATCAAGAAACATATGACAAAGAAAGCTGAAAAGGATTGCCCACTATCTGTAAACAAGAAGCCACTTTATATACGACTACAATACATGGGCGATATACCAAGCGAGTTAATTGCGAAGAAATTAAGAAAATCAATTCAAAGAACTTTCAATGCTGGCAAACTACACGTATTATTCTCTACACGACCGATGGTGCCACATCGACTGAAAGATGAAGTACCTAGACTAGCCACCTCAAATTGTATTTATCAATTCAACTGCGCTTGTGGAGCGAGTTATGTTGGCCGTTGCTCTAGGAACTTGATTTTCCGTGCTCCAGAACATATCCCACTATGGCTAAGTAAAGGTGTAGTTAAAACTATTAACAGTTCGATATTAGACCATCTAGTGCAAACCGGTCACAAAGCCAGCGTAGAAGAATCCTTCTCTATAATATACCGGGTGCCTAACAAACTACCAAAATCGTCGAAGCACCGCATACTCCAAACTGCAGAGGCTATTGCAATTCGCCTCAAACAACCAGTGCTCTGTGTCCAAAAGAAACAAGTCCAGCACCTACTACTGCCCTGGCCCTCAGTAGAGACTATAAACTCATGAATTTGTACTATTACCTTTCCTAATTCTTCTGACATTCAGTTTATTTTATGTTGATGCTGTTCAGCTGTAATTTATCAATATTATTGATTTGATGTTATTTAAACATCAATGTCGTTCATAAGACTAATTCATTCATTATAATGTATATATAATTGTAGAACCTGATGATGAATTTATCGAAAAGAGTACTCTTTGTTCCGTTGTAACAACAGAATACAAGGGCCAGGTAACAGGACGTGTTTTACGGAAAATCAACACGTATTAATAGATTTTAATGTACATTATTGTAGGTTAATGTTAGTAGAAAATACAGTCTATTGATTGGTTGTTTCTCACACAAAAATAACTTTGCATCTCTTGTGGCTGTCTCAGTTCATTTATATGTTAACTGTATCCGCCTGTCCATCTTGACCTTTGACCTGAATTACTGTCAACCAATTTGGCTAGCAACCATCTCTCACCACACCGTGTCTATTCTTTTGAAAATTTTAATAATTATTAATATTATTTGACCCATAAACTCACTGTCATTTTTTAAAAATTTTATATATGTAAAGGTATATAAATCAGAGTAAAGCCTGAAGATCTCATTGAAAACAATATTGTTCGGTCACATGTTTTGTTCTAATATTATGAAAGCGAAACACAGAGAATTACATAGTATAAACAAAACACTCTTCTAATATAATCGTAGAACTTGGGCACTGTGGTAGAATGTAATTCCATATTAGAAAAGTCAATTTTAAATATCACACAGTAACGATACAGTATTAACAACTAGATGAAAAGGTTTCGAGCATGAATTAATGCCAGTCATAATTAAATCACTTTTAATCACACGGTTTTGACAATCTGTCTTATACATATTTCTCTTTTTCTCTCCCTTCAACTACCCTTGGTTGTTTGTTGCCACTATCCATACCTCCAGTATAGGCGTAACGCCATTGAGATTACACATGTGCGGTGTTGAATCGATAAACAAAGCTTCAGTGATTCTCCTCTTTCTCCACCTAACTATGTTACTTTTAATACTCTCACCCTGCCCCACGCTATTTTATAACTACATGCGAGCGAATGCAGTGCAAGCATTCTTCGGTATTCCGGTGATAAATCTGTGAATTTCCAAGGCAGATGATACCCACAGTGTGTGCAGAGGAAAATAAGAGAAGTTTCCGGTGGCTAGATGTGATAACACTTTGACTGTAAAGTCACTGAATTAAAAGTTAAGACGTAATAAAAAACTGGGTATCATAGCCGAGCTGCGAATGCAACAGAGTTAATTTGTATCTTGATCATTAATTGCCTACCTACTGGGATGTTTTATAAATTTATGCAAGATTTTTAGGTCAGCTTATCATCATTGTTCTCTTGGGTTCCGAGTGGAATATAGGGCTTCAACAACACATCTCCATTTTGTCCTATTCTCTTCTATCCTCTTCATCTATGTCCACGTTTGACCATAATTTCTCATCTCCTCCTCGCCACACGATCTCCTACATGTCACCCTCACACTGATGACCCACTCGTCGCTTCCAATTCAGATTCCACTCGAGCGATGGTCTGCATTGTTTGCTATGTTATTCGATGGCCTCCTCAACGTACGCCCGATCCATCTCCATTGACGGGATAAAAACTGAAATGTGCTGCAAGAATCCTTGTCTTGTGTTTCATTTTTTATTTCGATAACAGTTCATTTTACACAGTTTAGCAATTTAAATGCTAAGTTTTTCTATGTATTGACTACTTTAATGATAAACTCAAAGTTTAACATCATTCTACATAATTCGACCACTATTGACATATCGGCTCCTTGTATGTACATCTCAGCGATGTCTGAGGATCAACCTGAAGTGACTTGGTGGACGGTGACTAGCAGTGGGATCCAGGATGAACATTTCGTCATATTTGGGACTATACAACTGGATCTGCCTCCATTCCCTGCTGGTTGATGGTGTTCGCTCTAAGACTCAAACCCTGTACCCATTGAATCAAACGCCAGAGCGTTATTCACTAAACCACTTAGGCCAGGAAAGCCATCCCCCCCTATAGTTATCAGAAGGATAGTGCAGACCAGTAACATTTTCGATTATTTTTTGAACCGCAGGACATTTTTCAGAGTCTTAAACTTGTCAACTTAATGTTAAAGTGTGAACCTAATGGCTCTTAATTCAGTCTTTAATCTTTCAGGAGGTGAGATATCTTGCATAGTGTGTCATTACTAGTTATAAATTGTCAAATGAAGAGTTGAGTACTGACTGATGTTTTAACTATTTATGACAACTTATAAGGCAGTAAAGGGTTATAATATCTTCCTTTATTTGATAGCTCATTCGGATGCAATGACATGGTTGTTAAAACAGGACTCACTGGTTGTTATTTCTCACTTCTGTTCACTTTATCAAATGAATTATTTCAAGTCTTAGAATTAAACCAGAAGCTTTTAGAGTGTGCAGTTGGCAGTGAAATTCTGACTTTGTCTCTTCCGAAATGCAGAAGAATTGATATAACAACATTTGGTTTGAATGACACTATTGGAAAGAATTAAACTGAAAGCATGAATTTAATACCACGCATATCGAATGGTTAGAATTCATTTGCACATTCAGATCAACGTGATGCAAACACCAGGCAGCTATTTCTTCACCCTCTTTGATATCAATCGATGTGGGCAAACAAAAACAAAGCTTTGGTTGGGCTAATACTTGCTACTGGTTTTCTTGAGTGATTCTTAATTTCATGTTATTGCATTCGTTACTCACAGAAAGTATGCATGTTAACGCACTACACAATGAGCTATACCTATTCTGTGATGCCTGCTCAAACTACATTAGGTACAGTGTGGTTCCAAAAAGTAACCTATTATTTGAAAAGTGAATGCCCAATCCAATGAGTCATAACATCAAGAATATATTCTTTACAGTTTAAATCATGAGTAAAGGACTACCACAGGGTTATTACAATTAAAGGTCAGTAAGTACTTTAAATACACTTTATTTTTATTCTTGAATATTTTTACTGCATATAAATAGTCCAGTTTGTAGAGTTCTTACTCAGCATTCATCTGACTCGTGAATAAAAGATTTATGAGAGTGAGTCAAATTTGGTATGGAATTCCTAAAGAGGTCAGATCAAGTGATACGAAGTCAAATGTTCCGTAATAATAATTAAATAAATGATTTCAAAATACTCTACAAGATGAAATAACTTTTATCTAATGTCAGTGAAAAGTTTGAGCATTGTAGAATAGATCAAATATAATTATAATTTACTTAACTCTTATCTGTAGATATTGATTTATTTGTCAATTTTACAAAGGTTGATTATGAGTGAAATACGAAAATTCAGATCCCAAGTAAAATGAAATATTTAATGGTACCACATGAAGTTGGCAGGTTTTGATAATTACGTGAAGGATAAAAATTTGCATATCCTTTCTTATAAGGAAATTAAAAAGCGATGAAGATTTTTGATTATTCTGTCACTGGTGATATAAATTAGGTTCGGAGCAGCGAGAAATTAGCAGACGCCGTGTTGAACCTGGTATAACAATGTCAAATGACGTATCATAATTCCTAATAAAATAAAGAAATAACACGGGACTAGGGAAAGGAGATGTTATTCCCTAGTGAGGAGATAGAAATAAAACGCCTGTCCTGCAATCAATACTTTCAGCGAACCAATCAGATTTTAGGGTTGTGATTAATTCATAGTTGATAGTATTTGTTACTTATTTTGTTTGGATTAGTGCAAGGGAGTTTTAACCCACTTTGCATATTGATGTACAAATATTGTAGACGAGTGTGTGTGTGTGTGTATCTCTGATTGTGGATATATATATATATATATGCTCTTGTTATTATTCTTGACAGGGAGGAATAAATAACAAAATTAAAAATTATAGAGAGACTGATTCATTGAGATTCAGAAGAAGAAAACGAAGTAGCTAGAATGCACTGGATACAACAACCAATTGACAATTGAACATTAATGTGTGCGCGTGTATGTATGTATACCGTTTATTGCGAACAAGGTGGGATTTTTCTTCAAAAATTCTGTTTTACCTGTTCAAGATTGCGAAATTCGATTCCGTTTGATGAACTTCTCATTTGTAATAAGCTAATTTGAAACTTTACTGAATGACGAAGGATCTGTACACGTGATTTTTTGGATGAATTCTTCTGTTTACAACGTTGAGTATTTCATTTGAATAATAAAATACAGCAGTCCTGAAATGAATAGTATGAACACTGCACAGATTTAATGGAACACCTTGAAAAACTACTCTACAGTTTACACCAACAGTGTGAAATGAGTTGGTAAGTTAACCTACATCTATGACAAATTGTTTTGGTTTCAAGATTAATTTTTTATTTATCGGATAGATTTTAATTAAATACCGGATTTTACTGAACTGTACTTACTGATGTCAGTTGATTACCACAGAAATATTATCTCTTGAGTAATTTTTCACTAACTCATTCTCAGATGACTATTTGATAGTGTATGCTTGTAGTATTATTCTTTCGTGAAACTAATAATAACTACCATGATGTGTCACAATATTTTCCTTTGAATTCAGTGCTTGCATATTTCCTAACTATTATACTTAACAAAGTAGTATCTTATAATATGATATTAGACTTTTTGTCTCTAAAAGTTTTTATTGGATTCGATTAGGTGATTTTTTCCAAAAATAATACCATATGGTGTGTAACCTTTGCAGTCAAAAATGTTTCCAATTAACTTTACTGCATGAATCTGGGTTATCAAAAATAAAAGCAAATATTACTGCGGAAAAAATCTTTTCATAGGAAAGGGAATTCCACATACTGATATACACAAATAAATCCTCCTGAGATAACAGACGTAAGAAACAATGAAATACGCACAGTATTGCAAATGTCACGTGTAATTAGTAAATCAGTTTTTCCGATGTATGTCCTATCCAAGCTGCGTCGGTGGTTCAGTGGTAGAACGCTCACCAACCATCCATATGGTTCGAGGATCGATCCCCGACTAACATACTCCTAAACCCCACTAAGCCGGTAGTGAATCCGGTTAAGAGGGAAGGTTGGGCATGACGCTAGCAACCTCACTCTATAAAAATAAAACCACTCCTACCGAAACTTCATGGCTGTAGATTGAAGCCTTACGTTCAACTGGGAACGTGAAGGAATAAAAAAAGTCCTATTCAAAAGTGAAAGAAATATGTGAGGGATTTACTGTGTCGTTTTACTATAACAGCATTTGACCTCAGTCTGTAATAATTTTCAGTTAGTAAGCTTTAAATACCATTTTCCAAAGGGGTGTAAAAGTGTCAACCTTCTCTAGTCAAGGTCAGACTACGCAATCTAAACAACAACCATTATAAATTATCAGTCAGTTTTCAACAACTGTCATTTTTTGACTAAAATGCTTTGTTCAGTGCACTTTCACCCTTTAATAACCGAAAGTGGAGTACCTCCTTGTCTACTTTTGTTCTGACTAGTTTTCTACTGTTTCTTTTTTATTATCTGCCTTGTTCACTTATAATTAAGTTAGAATAATCCTCCTCTCCCATTATTATGAAACCATCTAAGGCGTTCCTTGATGTCACTTTTAAGTTTCGGACAATTCCCCTACAGACATTAAGAGAGTGTTTCTACGTAACTATAATTTAATTCCACCTTCTTGTATACTATGAACTTTTGTTTTTTATGGTGTTATTCTACTATTCCTGAATGAAATCGTTACTCACTTACAGTACGCCAGGAAGTAGACTATAGAGTTTTATTTAAAAAGGATTTTTTTTCTCCCGGTCATATGTAACTGACCAAAATCATGTGGAGTGAAATCAATTCATCTTATGTAGCAAAATTTCTTCTCATCACCTTATTCAAGTTTATAAAGCAAAAGAAATCCACGAACTACTTCAAAGTAGTACCATCTGCATAATGAGTCATTATTTATTAAGTCAAGTGAAAGCATTCAACAGTTCCTTGTTACTGTTTCACCATAACTGAGGAGCATTTCATTGAACTTCCTTCTAGTTACTTCTGAATACTTGAAGATTTTGTCTACTGTCAGAATAATAAGGTTTATTAATCAATTAATCTTAATGATGACTAAAAATTTACGGAAATTAAAAGCGTGACAAAAAGAAACTGTGTCTAGCTGAATTAGAAGTTACGTTTATTGAAGCTGAATTGCCTACCTTTGATCATATTCACTTTATCTTATTATTGTAATTCTATAATAATTCAAAGCAATTCACATTTTATTAATATTAGAAAATTTTCACTGCAGCCATCTTTCCACATTAATTTGTTTATTAGATATATCACATAGTGAAACAGTATTATTGTTTACCGGATGACGAAGTTTCGAACACAATTTATTGTTTATTATCATTTCATCAAGTATAATCACACAACTTCGAAACTTGAGTTTTGCAGTTTCCTTTATTCTTTCCTATTTGTCGTAGGGGTAGTAGAATTTTCCAGATGTTTAGGACGGGTGTTGAATCATTCCTATTACACGTATTTGCAGTTGATTCGATAAAAAAACTTCTGTTATCAATCTCTCCCTCCACTCTGTGACATTAGATTTTAAAACTGTCATCCTATCCCATCCTATTATATGGTTGTGTGTAACTACTATATCTGAACTATTCTCCAGATTTCTTATTCGGGTCAATGTAGATTTTGCTAGGTCTGACTTACCCCGTTCTATTACTTTGACCTATGTATTTGACATGAAAACCATTGCAGGGTATTAGATAAACTAAATTATTTTGTTTAATTCTCTCCACAAGGTTGATCCTGTAACCGACACATCTTGTTTCTAACTGAGTTTGTAGGTTTGAATGCCACTTTTATTTCTGTCTGCATTGTTAAGAATTCTGAGTAAGGTTTCCGAGGTTACTTCATTGGATTGAAGTACTACTGACGATTTAGATTCCCTATTGTTGGTGTTGTCATTATCTTGCTCATGTTTGACATGCATGCCGTCATTAACATTATTATTATTACCACTGTCACTATTACTAATTTTTTCTGCACTTTCCTACATAATTTTTGAGTAATTTATCAAGGTAATTATTAAGTTTCAAAGCTTCTCTTATATGCCTCACTTCCTGTCTTAGATTTTCTTAGGTACTACTTAGTCTTTGTGCTCTATTACTTAAACATTTCAAAACAAGATTTTGAGCGAACAATTGTTTTCGATAACTTCTTCTTCAGGCTCTACAGTTATAAGTCCATGAATAATAGAGTACATATAGCCAATAAAGGCAAATGAAAATAATATCAGAAACTGTATTGGGGTGCATGTGTAAGTTGAGATGATAGTCCATTAGTTAACATAGTCAATCAAATGTGTATAGGGTGTATAGTCAGAAAAAATGTGATGAAGTGTGAATGAACAGTTGGGTGATATAGTGCTGTTATAGTCAACAGAATACAAGTGTCATTAGGGTGAGAGAAATACGATAGACACAAAATACATACGAACACACATTAACAAAGGGGACACTGAATGTGAGGTCTGACCGATAATGTCTAATGATAAAATAAAGAGGCTAAATTGTAAATTGTAATTAGGTGTTGCAGAATTGGTAGGCTTAGTATAAAGTCACAAAGGTTGACAAAATTAAGGGTAACAATGAGGTGAAATAAACTGGGTGGAGTAATGGATAATAAAGACATGATATCACAAAATGATAATAATGGTAATAACAATACGGAAAATTATGATCCTGGTGACGATATATCCAGCGACATATTAAACTGTAGATTAACAAGATCAACTGAGAGAACTTTCAGTGCCGCAAAACTGCATGTCACTTTCGCAACCAAACCGATATTGACACTGTGCATTAAAGATAGATTACCCAAAATGGCGACATCAATGTGTGTACATAAATTCAACCGCTGCTGTGGAGCTAGTTATGTAGGTCGTACCAAAAGGAATTCATCTTTACGCACTAGTGAACATATTCATGTTTGGCTCGGGAAAAGAGCTACCAAACCATTAAATGGTGCAATTCTGTCTCATCTAGTGGATTGCGAACACAGCATCAAAGTAGATGAGTCATTTACAGTTGTGTATCGAGTACCGAACAATCTGCCTAAAGGCATACGATTACGCCTCCTAGTCATAGCTGAGGCTTTAGATATTAATTGAGAAAGACCAGAATTATGTGTACAGAAAAAACGTATTCACTCTCTCTGTCTACCCTGGCCCACTATAAGGTCACCAGGATCATAATTTTCCGTATTGTTATTACCATTATTATCATTTTGTGATATCATGTCTTTATTATCCATTACTCCACCCAGTTTATTTCACCTCATTGTTACCCTTAATTTTGTCAACCTTTGTGACTTTATACTAAGCCTACCAATTCTGCAACACCTAATTACAATTTACAATTTAGCCTCTTTATTTTATCATTAGACATTATCGGTCAGACCTCACATTCAGTGTCCCCTTTGTTAATGTGTGTTCGTATGTATTTTGTGTCTATCGTATTTCTCTCACCCTAATGACACTTGTATTCTGTTGACTATAACAGCACTATATCACCCAATTGTTCATTCACACTTCATCACATTTTTTCTGACTATACACCCTATACACATTTGATTGACTATGTTAACTAATGGACTATCATCTCAACTTACAAATGCACCCCAATACAGTTTCTGATATTATTTTCATTTGCCTTTATTGGCTATATGTACTCTATTATTCATGGACTTATAACTGTAGAGCCTGAAGAAGAAGTTATCGAAAACAATTGTTCGCTCAAAATCTTGTTTTGATTTCATTATGGCGATATTTCATTTACTTAAACATTTCACCAATCTTATTGTCACTGATATAGGATGGGATGATCGGAAGTCCAAATATCTGTTTGAATGTGTGGGTTTCCTGTAAACACCAGTGTTTAACTTCCCATTTTCTTTCGTTTTGAAGCTACAACCTAACACTGGAACCTCCCCTTTCTGACTTTCCGATTCATAAGCGAATCAAATTGCCTCCACCTTTTAGTTAATGTTTTCGAAAAACCTATTTATATCCTGTGTCCTAAGTACAGTGAATTTGTCATCTACATACCTATACCATACTTTTGGCGTGGGGCTGAACGTTTCATTCGCCATGTTTTCCCACCTATCTATGAATATATCTGCCACAACCGGGGATATTGGTGACCCCATGGCAACTGCCTCAGTTTGTCTGTATATTTTTCCTTGGAATTTAAATACTGTGGAAGTCAAGCATAGCTGCACTCCCAGTATTATATCCTCAAGTGGCACTTTTGTTCTAAGTTCAA